GAAGGCTTCTGTTTGGCTTCTAATTAGCCTCTGTTTTTACTCCTCTATTCTAAACAGTATTCATTGGGGCACCTGGGTGGCTCAGTTGGTTAAGCATCCACCTCTTGTTTTCAGCTTAGGTCTTGATCTCAGGGTGGTGGGTTCAAGCCCCGTGTTGGGCTCTGTGTTGGGCGTGGAGCCTACTTAAAAAGGATAAAAAATTAAAAGTATTTATTGAGGCGTTATATTGCCAGGAAATGTATTTCCATTTGATCTTAGCCAAAGGCTGAGAAGCAAAGGACAGTAGAGATACCACTCAGAAAATACTTTGGCTTAATAAAGAATTTACATTTTTGAGTTATTATTTCATAAGAAAGAAAAGCAACTGTGTTCGATTATCTCTTAGAGGGAGAGAAGAAATGTATAGAAAGGATTCTACTTCAGGTCACAAACTACAAGAACAAATGGCTGTAAGTAAGAACGCTTATTTTTGTTTCTGAACCAAAATAAAACTGGATAATTTGTTTAGTATGAAAAAGAAGACTTTAGAAGCCAGAAAAATGTCCCCAACACAACAAATTAACTACAACAGTATTTTGGTTAAGTAGAAATTACAGTTCTATCACTTTATACAAAATAGAATTTTTAATAATTTTTCTATTCATGCCGAGAATGTTCCTTTACTTAGAAGGACTACTTTTAAGTAGTTGAATATTTTCTCTTTAACTAAGTTTAATGTATGTTTATAAAGACTATTCATAGAACTCATCATTTCCCCAAAATAAGCTCAACCCGAAATCAGTAAAGATTTTGAAGATTCATTGCAGTTAAAATTAGGGTCGTGAAGGGCAAAAGCCCATGATTTTCAGCCTTTGTAAAAGAATCCATTAATGCAGCATGAAAAGTAAGTACAATTTAGTGGCTCCCCCGTTATGTTAAGCAGGGGGCCTTGTTAGAGGACACACAAAGTCAACAGAGATCACCTCTAACCCCAGGCGTGAGGCCAGAGGTCCGCTCCCAAGGGCTGTCCAAATTCTTCCTTTCCCATAGTGCAGTAGTGATCCTTGTGTGAGGGCCACACTTCTTTGATAACAAACGTTTTTTATTGGGAGAGAATTTTATGTGAATGTTTCAGGTCTTGTTAACATAATACTATATTGCGTCTGCTCAGCAGGAGAACTTTGATTTTTAAAAGTAGATTTATAGAGATGGCTCTTTGATCCCAGGATAGGGAGTCCCTTGGCCCTTCAGACCTTATGTGCTTTCTTGTCTGCTGGTCCCAGATAAGTAGCCCCGATTCTTGGACGCGACAATTGCATAATTGGAAAGGAGCATGGGAGTCTTCTGACTAAACTTCATTCCACGCCACCACCACCACCCCCCCCCCGCCCACCCCTTGAGAGAGATAGGTTGAAAATTAAGGAAACACATTTCACACTTCCCAGCATTTAATATTTTGGCAACTTTTAGTTCCCAATTTTGTTCTGAAAGAAGCAGGATGACCAAAAGCTGCCTGCTGAGATTCACCGCCAGCTCCAGGAACTACAGCAATCCCATCTGCCTTTGTCAGCCCGGGTCTCGCATCCGCTAAACAAGTTAACGATGGGGGTGCCTGGGTGGCTCAGTTGGTTAAGCGTCCGACTTGATTTCTGCTCCGGTCATGATGTCACGGTTCATGAGATCAAGCCCCACATTGCCAGATTCTGAGCTGACAGTGTGGGGCCTGCTTAAGATTCTCTCTCTCTCTCCCTCTCCCCCTCCCTCCCTACCCCGCTCACACACATGCTTTCTCTCTCAAATAAACATTTAAAAATAATTTTAAAAAGTTTATCATGAGGGGCTCAGTCAGTTGAGCATCCAATGTTGGCTCAGGTTATGATCTCATGGTTCGTGAGTTCGAGCCCCACATCAGGCTCACTGCTGTCAGCCTGTCAACAGAGCCCACTTCGAATCCTCTGTCCACCCTCTCTGCCCCTTCCCTGCTTATGCTCTCCCAAAAATAAATATTGAAAAAGAAAAAAAAAGTGTCTATATAAAGGGCATAAAGAGGCAGTAGTTGTATTATTGTGTTATTATCTACAAACAAAGCTGACACTGTAGCTTTGGTCAGATGGGCCTGGCTGCACAGTGTTCTCCTGGAGTTTCTCACCTCGTGTGGATTTATGCCTGCCTCGTGCAACAAAGTCTGGGTAACATTCTTATATTCTCACTGCCAGATGTGCCTTCCAATTACAGAGTTAATCTAAGGGATGGAGCCCATTGCCATGGCTGAATATGATGGTTCATTTCTTTTCTTTTAATGTTTATTTTTTTTTTAAATTTTTTTAATGTTTTATTTATTTCTAAGAGAGAGAGACAGCGTGAGCAGGGGAGGGTCAGAGAGAGAGGGAGTCACAGACTCCAAAACAGGCTCCAGACTCCGAGCTGGCAGTCAGCACAGAGCCCGACGCGGGGTCACGACCTAAGCGAAAGTCGGACGCCCAACCAACCAAGCCACCCAGGCGCCCCGATGTTTATTTATTTTTGTGAGCGAGACCGAGCACAAACGGGGGAGGCGCCGAGAAAGAGAGAGACAGAATCTGAAGCAGGCTTCAGGCTCTGAGCTGTCAGCACAGAGCCCGACGCGGGGCTCAAGCCCACGAACTGCGAGATCATGACCTGAGCCAAAGTCAGATGCTCAACTGACTGAGCCACCCAGACGCCCCTGATCATTCATTTCTAAAACTATAAAATACACTAGTTCTTTTTTCCAAACCCATGTCCCCCCCACCACACACGTTATAAAGGCATCTAAAAATGCCCGTGGCATAGCGTGGGCAGGAACACTGCAGTAGAGTGCCCGGTGTGAGCTGTACACAGGCGGCTGGAAAAAAACAGAAAGAGTTGGCACCGGTGTCCTTTGTGTTTGGTGTCCTGGTGGTAAACCAGTTAAGCGTGGACTTCTTCCCGCAGCCACTGTGGTAACCAGAGAAACATGTTAGCGCTCTGCGAGGAACAGAAAGTTAACAAGGATCGGTATCCGTCCACATAAGTAAAGTTTTAAAATACAGGAAGCCCCCACCTCCAGGCTGGGTGCCGAAACTTTATTTGCAGTTAACTGTTTCGAACCCAGAGCACTTTTCTCAAAGACATGTTACAAATGGCAGCAATATTCCTGGCCGGACTCGGAAGCCTTTTTTTTTTTTTTTTTTTTTTTTACTGGAAGAGTGCAAGCGAGGGAAGGGTGGAGAGGGGGGGACAGAGGGCCCGCAGCACACTCTGCTCTGACAGGCTGACAGCAGCAAGCCCAGTGTGGGGCTTGAACTCACAAACCATGAGACCATGACCTGAGCCAAACATGGACACTCGGTAGACTAAGCCATCAAAGCCTTCTCAGCCCACGATACACCTAAAGTGCAGTCCTGTGCGGTCGGCAAGACGGAGCGAGCCACCCCACAACGCATTCATGTTGGCGCATTCGGCCACCCGGAGAGCAGGTGGCTAGGGAGGCCCGTGGGCGAATCGGACTTTCCTGTCCCCTTCCTCCTCACCTCTCCCACCTCGGAGCTCCCTTCCCAGTGCTGCAGGAGGCCTCCTCAGCCACGCTGTCCAAGCTGGCCCTTCACAAATGGTGATGTGCACCCAAATCCCCTGGGAGTTGGTAAAGTTGCAGACTCTGATTCGGCTGGCCTGAAGTGGGTTGAGATTTCAGATTTCAAACAAGCTCCCAGTGATGCCCACACTAGCGGTCCACCTACCCCGGCGTGAGCAGCAGGGAGAAGTGGGCGAACCCTGGGTGTAGTGCGAGCCGTGTCCCACCTCATCTCACTAGAATGTTCTCCGGCCAGAGCACGCAAGGGTTTTGCAAGACACAGCACTTAGTCCTCGGAAGCAAACCCATGGTCCCAGGTGCCTCTGCTCCAGATGATCGCACCCACTATTGCTTTATGAGCATCCTTTTTATGAAAAGTAGAGTAATAAAGCCCAGCAGGAAACACTAAAATCGATAAGGAGCCTCACCATCTAAGTCCCTGACCATGTTTTAGTGTGTGAGTCACTGGGGGGAATCAGAGCCGTTTCCCCCAGGATACCAAGGGCTCCTGGTGCAAGTGCACCCAGGCACACTCTGATCAACGGATCTGGACACGCCCCAGCCAAGCAGCAAGGAACACGGGCCAGGTTTCCATCCCGTCTCCACCACTAACTGGCTTGTCCTTGTCCATGTCCTTGAGCACATGGCTTGTGCCTCAGTGTCCTTTGTCCCATCAATACATTGAGGCTGAAAATAGTACCTACGCTGAGGGGGTTTAATTAAATCATCCGCATACAACCAGTAACCCACCGCAGAGCACCTCGGCGGGGGTGGTGGTTGTTAAATTAGTAACTTGAGGTTCTAGGCATGAAGCCCAGTTTCCCATCTTGCCATTTATTACCTGTGTGACCTTGTGCAGGTGGCTCACTCACCTCCGTAAACCTCGGTTTCCTTCCTTGTAGCATGGAAATAATAAAAGTACCTGCCTCACGGGGTCGCTGGGAGGACAGAGAAGAGTAAACTTGGGCATGGTGTCTAGTGCACAGCCGGCCAGCCGCCAGCGTCCGGTGGTGTTCCGACGGCAGGCCAGACTAACTGCCGTCTGGAGATGAGGCGTTTGCACACTGCCCTCCAAGAGTTGTTGATTGTACAAAAATGTGTCTTGGAAAAGCAGGAGGCCATTGTTCCCTTCACCCACTCCCACCGGCCCCTTCAGCCAAAGGGGCCTAACTTTTAAGATGCGGTTTGAAAATCTTGGAGCTGCGATGTGCTGTGGGGCCATGGAGGGAGGTAAATGGTCTCCATTTTCAGGAAGCTGACATCTGCCTTTTCTATTTCATTTCCTAACCCGAGAATGAAATAGCAGATGGCGAATTTAAAGAGATACAGGTGACCTAATATAGGAGGCTGAATTGAATTATGTAGTTAATTTATGTCATTAGATGTACACCGTTCAGAGCGATCATTTTGCGGCGTTTGCTAATGTATAATACTGCGTTTTCTCCTCTAGATGAGCACCATGCCAGGACTGCCGACCCGGCCCTGCTTCTATGATATAGATCTTGACACAGAAACAGAGCAAGTTAAAGGCTTGTTCTAAACGAGCCAGACTTCCAGACAACCCAGTGCAGGTAGGTTCCTGTGCTTTCTGCCGTGTCTTTCTTTCTTGCTTGCCGCAGATATCTTTTAGTTTTATTTTGTCTTGATTTTCTAATATTTACTATAAAACGTGGTCTGATCAGTAATTTCCTGACTTGGTTACTACGAATTCTTGCCTAAAAAGAGCCCGTGACTTGGCTTACTCCTTGATGTGGATACGCAGGTAGATGGGCTCCAGTCCAGTGAAAGTCAAACCATGTTGCCTCTGGAATATAGGATTGTTTAAGGCATCTATTGCCATTTAAAAAATGAGCCCTGTAAACTCATTATTCTTTCTCCAGAATTAAAACGAATACACTGTCCCTCCCTAACCATGCGGATTCCTTCTAAGACACCCAGACCCCACTGCCTCATGGCATACGCCTAAAACCACAGATAGTCCTAAATACTTGCGTGTGCTGTGTTGCTTCATATATATACATGCACATGACAAAGTTTAATTTACAAATTAGGCACAGTAAGAGATTAACAACAATAACTACTAATAAAGTAGGACACTTGGAACAAGATGCTGTCCTCAGAGTTCGATGAATGTGGTCTTTCTCTCTCCCTCTCTCTAAATACCTTATTGTACTGCACCCCCCCTTCTTCATGTGCTGATGTGAGATGATTAAATGGCTACATGATGAGATGAAGGGACTGACGTAGGCATCGTGACATAGCTTTAGGCTGCTGTTGACCTTCTGACACTCTGCCAGGAGGATCATCTGCTTTCAAACCACACAGACTATGGAGAATTAAACCCACGGAAAGCGAAAGCACAGATGAGAGGCACTACTGTGTCTTCAGTCATTTTATGACTCTGCCTTTCCTACCACATATCTCTTGGTGCAGAGTTCGAATTATGTGATAGAGGGATCCGGGTGTGTTCATTCCCTACAGCTGCCGTAACAGAGCATCCCAACTGGATGGCTCAAAACAAATATTTATTCACTCAGTTTCGGAGGCTAGAAATCCAAAGTCAAGGTGTCATTCAAGTCATGTCCCCTCTGAGGCTCTGGTAGAATCCTCCCTGGCCTCTTCCCAGCTTGTGGTGGTGCCTGCCATCTTGAATGTGTCTCAGCTGTACCCACATCACTTCGATCCCTGCCTCCATGGCTGTAGCATTCTCTCTGTGTGTCCCTGTGTTCGTAGGGGGTGCCCTTGTAGGGACCCCAATCCCATAGAATCAGGACCCACCCTATTGACCCTACCTTAACTGGACTATATCTGCAAAGACCTTATTTCCGAGTAAGGTCACTGTCTTTGGTCCTGAGGGTCAGGACTTCAGCATATCTTTTTGGGGACAGTTCAATGCATAACACTTGACTATGACACAACAGTAGGATTAGGCTCTTAGACCACGGGAGAGGCACGTGAAGGTGAGACCAGTCTAACGCACAGGGCCCTGAGCATCAGAGGAAGTTCAGGGCAACAGAAAGGAGACCCTCACTATCTCATGGACCACACGGTCTAAGAGGGCTGGGCTTGGCCTGGAGCCCCCATAGACAGCCCACCATGGGGGTCCCTTGGTCTTACTCATGCCTACTCCATGCAGTCACACCTGCTGGCTTCTGTCCTGGCTTCCCTTCCTGGAGAGAAATGACCCACCCTCCTCACCTCACCCTGCTCCTGGGAAAACTCCCAGTCACCAGTTGTAAAGGCTGGGGAAGCTGCTTTTCTCCGTCCCATATACCAAACCTCACCATATTCTCGGGACACATTCCTTTTGCCAACACCCCCAGTTCTGTCTCCACACTCGCTCTTGTTCCTTAGCCCAGCGTCCCTCCCTTTTTTTTCTTAATGTCTATTTATTTACCTTAACCCACAGAGAGAGCGTGTGAGCAGGGTAGGGGCAGAGAGGGAGGGAGAGAGAGAGAGAATCCCAAGCAGACTCTGTGCTGTCAGTGCAGAACCCAACATGGGGCTCAAACCCATGAACCATGAGATCATGACCTGAGCCGAGATCAAGAGTTGGAACCTTAGCCCACTGAGCCCCCCAGACTGTGGGCCTGTCAGACGAGCTTTCTTGACCTGATTCTCATTTTTGTTGGTTTCACTACCAGTCGTCAACACGGGGAGACTGTTATCAGCTTTTTTGTGAGTCTTTGTTACTAATGCACTAAAGACCGAGGTTATGATAAGAAAGGTAAGTGACCACACCAATATGAAATTACATTAATACAAGGTGCAGAATTGCTGGGTTTGGGGTTTGAGTGGTGTATGGAGTTGTTCATATGTGTTTTTCACTGAGGAGTGGGGACTATGTTTAGTTTGAACCACAACCACATTTCATATCTGTGTCTATTCTTAAGAAGAAAACCCCACAAAATAAACTAAGGGAGACAACTTTAACAAAGAAGCCTTGATAATAGTGTCATTTTGGTCTTTGGGTATAACTGTGTGTGTGTGTGCCCGCGCGTGTGAACGTCTAGGGTTTCCCAGCTAGTCTGGGGGGAAATAACAATATCATTCCTCTTGCACTGAAAATTAACCCCATGTCCTGACTAATCTCCCCTTTCATGTCAAGAACCCATTATGCTACATTTCTGCCATTTGTCACTCTTCTCCAGAACAAGTGTGTATCACCCTTTTCTCTCTCTCGGGTAGTGTTTTTCCAACCTTGTGGTCTGTTTTCTTCTGTTCCCCAAGTAGGTGATTAAAACCCAATTATACCTTAATTATAGGTTAAGACTCCGGTAATGCCCAGGGACACGTCCTTCACTTTACTGTCACGTACACTTAAATCCTTAGGTCTGTGTTCCCTAACAGGTTTTCCTCCAGATGTTTTTTTAAGTTTATTTATATTGAGACAGAGAGCACAGGGGAAGGACAGAGAGAGGGGGAGAGAGGGAATCTCAAGCAGGCTCCTCACTGCCAGCGCAGAGCCCGACGCAGGGCTTGAGCTCACAAACTGAGATCATGACCTGAGCCGAAACCAAGAGTCAGATGCTTAAGCGACTGAGCCACCCCGGTGCCCCCAGATTTTTTTCTTTTTTAAAGGTTGAGCAAGCATTAGAGGTCAGGACGCTGGCCTGCGGAGATCACCTCAGTGAGCCAGGCACCGTGCTGAGCGCCTCGCCTGGTCCCACCACCCCTTGGAGGCAGGTGCTGTCCCACAAGGTTAGCTGAGGGGTGGCCCTGAGCCCCAGGACAGCGGAGGCATCTTTCCACTGCCTGGCACTGCCCCTCCTTCCACAGCTGGTACAGGGGTCACTTTGCCACCCCGTCACATGTCGTGCTGGCCCCACCTCTGGGTGCTGCCGTAGCTCTGGCCCAGGAGAGTGGCAGCGAGCTCGCGGTGCCCTGCTAGGAAGCACACATGCCGAGACTCCGCCGGGACCTGCTTACCCTGTGTCACCCCCACCCTTTGTGCCCAAACCAAGGGATGCCCTTTGCGTCTCAGTCACACGGTACATGAACCATGGCCCGCTCTAGAAGATGATAACCAGTTATTTGAACAGACCTATAATTTTGGGATCACCGGGTGATTTCTGTAAAACAAAAGATAATTCTTTGGGTATTAAAAGCTCTGACTCTGTCCAGATTCTTTTTCGCCAGAGTATAATAGGGCTATCTCTCGCTGAACTCTCTCATTGAATGTTGTTTTCCCACTCGCTTATCCAAGGCTCCTTTCTGCTCTGTGAACTGCCCAATCCCGTTCTCCGCTCGGTGGGCAGTGGTTCAGAAGCCATCACTTGACGCTGCTTGCACAATTGAAAATGGATCCAGTATCGGAGGAGAGAGCACTGTACAAAGCAAGCATTCCTTTCTTGGGAACTCCTCGGCGTGGTGACCCCGCTCGCGGGCTCTCCGTTTCCCATGTCCTCACACATACGCGATCAGGGACCACCTGTCCCAACAGGCAGGTCTGTGGGGATTAAAAGTGCAAAACAAAAAAATGTTAACATTTGGATGACCGTCCGTGTAGACAGACTTGACCGTCAGAAGAGGAAACGTCTGGTGGTCGCTCTGCTCCTGGAGCGGTCAGACTCCAGACAGCTCTGTGCTGTCCGTGCTGTAGACGCATAGCTCACGGAAGATTACACTCTGTTAACGACTGTTTCTTTCCTTCCGCGTCCTCTCCTCTCCTGCTCACCTGCCCCCCCAGGGAATCGTGTGAGATTTAATATGAACGGAGATGCCAAGAAGTCACCGGAGTCTGAGTTCTTGCTCCTTTCCAAGGCTCCCCTGTTGTTAGAAAAAGGGCATGATTCATTCTTCTGAGTGGCACCAAATAGAATTAAAATAAGTTGTTTGTCCCCAGTAACCCCGATCCTGCCGCATTACTGTTCAGTCTTTTGTTTGAAGATGAATTGGATTTTAGGGTTGTTGTTTGTTTTTACATTTATTTATTTTTGAGAAAGAGGTGCAGGGGAGGGATGGAGAGAGGGAGAAAGGGTCCAAAGCAGGCTCTGTGCTATAAGCACAGAGCCTGACCCGGGCTCCAACTCACTGAAGAATTTGGTCGCTCTCTTACTTTGTCCTGTTGCACGGTTGTATGGAGTCTAACATCAGGCTGACACTAGTCCTGCTATAAATGTTAGTTATTTACCCAAAAAGAGTTTTTTCTTGGACTGCACATGCAAAACAGAATATAATACCAGCTCATTTCATCCCTAAGCTGCCTTTAGAGCAGCAATGTTCAATGATAGGGCACCTGGGTGGCTCAGTCGGTTAAGTGTCCGACTTCGGCTCAGGTCATGATCTCACAGTTCGTGGGTTCGAGCCCTGCGTTCAGGCTCTGTGCTGACAGCTAGCTCAGAGCTGGATCCTGCTTCAGATTCTGTGTCTCCCTCTCTCTCTGACCCTCCCCTGCTCATGCTATCTCTTTCTCTCTCTCAGAAATAAATAAGACATTTAAAAAAATTTTTTTAAATGTTCAATGATATTTAATAATCATAAAATAGTTTCGAGTATGGTTACTGCCTATAGCCCCTCTATGGTCAGGGTCTGTTGTGCAAACCACAGGGAGTCAGGATTCCCTAGGGAGCACCTAGGCTCTGTCATTTCGGTCTTGAAACTGTCTTTTCAAGAAGCAACTCAGAAATTGTTGATGACCATTATGCTCCCAAGGACAAGGTCAGCAAGTACATCGCCCCGAGCCATGCTTGGAGTGCACAATTGGAAGCCCAAGCCCCTTAAATATAAGACGGAGGGGACTGAATCTAAAGATGCCATCGTTACCATCTCATTGATATCTAAGAGGAGGTGACAGGGGCACCTGGGTGGCTCAGGCAGTTAGCATCTCACTTCCACTCAGGTCATGATCTGACAGCCCGTGAACTCCAGCCCTCCTCAGGTGAGCTTGAGGCCCACTTCGGGTGAACACCACTTCTGTCTGCTCTCTCTACTCTCTCTCTCCCTCCCTCTCTCTCTCTCTTTCTCTCTCTCTCTCTCTCTGTCATCTAGCTCACTTGTACCCTCTCTCTCTTAAAAAAGTAAAAAATAAAAATAAATAAAATGTGGTGATAACTAAAATCTCCCCTAACTAAAATGGAATATTTTGAAGCTTAATGGTTGGAAAGTTCTGAGGCTCCTGGGTGGTGTTAAGTTAGTTAAGCGTCCGACTTTGGCTCAGGTCATGATCTCACAGTTCGTGGGTTTGAGCCCCACGTCAGGCTCTGTGCTGACAGCTCAGAGCCTGGAGCCTGCTTTGGATTCTCTGTCTCCCTCTCTCTCTGTTCCTACCCCACTCATGCTCTGTCTCTCTGTCTGTCTCTCTCAAAAATAAATAAACATTTGAGGCACCTGGGTGGCTTAATCGGTTAAGCGTCCGACTTTTGCTTAGGTCGTGACCTCCCGGTTCGTGGGTTCGAGCCCCGCGTCGGGCTCTGTGCTGACTGCCAGCTCAGAGCCTGGAGCCTGTTTCGGTCTGTGACTCCCTCTCTCTCTGAACCCCACCCCTGCTCACGCTGTCTCTCTCTCTCTCTCTCTCCTAGAAATAAATAAAAAACATTTTAAAAAGAATAAAATAAAATAAATATTTTAAAAATTTTTTTAAAAATTGGGAAGTTCTTAACTCCCTTTTAAAGAAACTTTCTTGGGTTCTCTTTTGATTTCTTATCAGTTCTATACCAAGATAGAATATTTCATATATTCTGTCTTAGTAAAATTCTGAAATTAGTTTCTTTTTCCCTGAATAACTGGCTAACAATAAACAGCTGATTCCTTTTTTAAATTCTCACTGTAGCTGTTACATTTCCAATTCATAAAATCTGTATTCAGACTTTGTATACTTCTGCCAACACATGGAGTTTTGTTTTGTTTTGCTTTTTAACATGGACTACACACTCCACACCCCTTTCAACACAAAAGCACTACATGCAAAGGAAAGGTGGCTAATCAGCCGTTCCTCCACCACCCACTGCAGGTTTGGAAGATCTTTCCAGACTTGCCCTCCATGGGTTCTTTCCAGTGCACTAAGCCCACCTTCACCCCCCTTACCCTCCATTCCTCCACATGAGTCACCGAGCCTCGGGTCTAGAATCACCAGAGCCGCTGACGTGAGGCCGGCCACCTGCCTGAACGGAGGGGTGAGGTCCGCCCCAGGCACACCCCCCTTCCTAACATCGAAAATGTTTTCTTTTTGTTAATGATTATTATGCGCAGGGTGCTTCTGTTTGCTGTTTACTTCCCCTACTTGAATCAGGTGCTAGGAGACTATTCTGAATTCTGGGTCCCCTGTCTTCGTCACCGTCTTCTGTTCTGAGGCGAAGCAAGCATCCTTTCTGGCCCCAGACCCCTCGCTCACCTGTGTTCTGGCCCAGTGTGGACTCCTGGCCCAGCAGATAAATTCTCCCACGTATAAATTCTGATTAAAGGCCACATGCTTGCATTTACACTTCTTCTGCAAACGCTGAACACATACTTTCGGAAACTTCGGTGTTTGGTATGGTTGTCCTTTCTAAAATGGAGTTTGATCACTTCTCTTTCTAAAAGATGCAGGTTCCAACTGTGTCCAAGACTCTGATACTCTTTCAGAGAAAACGATGAAGCTTTAACATCAATAAGAAGGTCTCCTCCCTTCTGTTCTCACCCTAAATGCATTTTTCAGACCTTGCTTTCTGTGCCTGCTATAAAAGAGAAACTGAAATCCAAGGCAACAGGATTCCTGATCTAAAATCCTGAGCGGTCTCACTCAGCAGGATCCTGGAGACTGTAGAGCCCAAATTCAGAATTTTAGAATTTCTGCCTAATCTTTTCGGGAGGTTCAGCACGCTGCCAGCAGCGACCGGGCTGCCTGGGTCACGGAGCGGTGTGGAACCTGATTCTCCGCTGCTCTAAGTAAAACGATTCCGCACGGCGATTCCCAGCCCTGTCTTGAGAAGACAGTTCTTGATCTGCGGGTGGATTTTCTTTTGGACTCTGACTTATTAGAGCTATATTAACAGTTCGGCATCACAGTGGGGGAAAAGCTGTTCTTAAGCCACTGAAACATGGTTTTGTTTTCCAGGCTCCTGAAATACAGACTCCTCTTTGCCTTCTTGCTGCTGTCAGAGAAGAAAGTGAGTTTGAATTATGCCTGTTACACAACGCGGGAGAAATGGGGAAATAGGCCAAAGATGTATTCTTCGTTCAAGAATTCTGTTTGCTACAGAGTATCGTGTCCAGCAAAACGCCCTCCACCAAGTTTGAAAGAAACTAATTTATTTTCCGTTTCTGCAGAGTTTACATTAATTCCCCCTGCTTACACTGTAGAATGTTTATTTTATGGGGACCAAGGGATTAAAAGAGTGTGAACTAAAAGGTACCATTTACCTCTCTGGAGTTTTCTATTTTGTCTTTGAACTGAAAATAAACATGTATCTAGAAAACCAGACAGCAAGTTTTCAACTCTAGATAAAACTCTGCTCTCTAGAGGTAACTTCACACTGGGGCTGTGACCGGACAGATTTTCTGGAAAACCATGGATACAACCAGGGCTTTTAGAAACATAACGAGAAAGAAATCACACACACACACAGAAAAATCCCGTCCGTTGTGAAATCTTCAGACTGTTGGAGAGTTGTAATAAATAGCTTCTAGAACACTGTGCATTTTATACACAGAACTCTTTTTCACGGCCAGTGAAGCGTACATCACTTACCTAAAAAGTAATGGGTTGATGCTCGTCTTGTCCACCCACAAATGAATATCGGCAGCCGTTAAGCTTCCAAAGGCCCAGAGGGCAAAGGAAAGTTGGCTCTTAAAGGTCAGGTATTTGGGCAGATGTTTTTCCATTTGTCCAGCCCATAATTCATTGTAAAGAATGGTCTCTGGGCTGTACCCCCTTCCTGGCAGTTACTGACCCCTGTCTGTTTCCATTTTTTCCTACAATAACATAAAGTTATATAAAAGTTAAGACAAAACCCAGGATTCAGGAACAAACAAGAAGGGATTGTCCTATAAGCAGTATAAGTAAAATAGTCACCATAAATATCTGAGATGTCCCCCCCCCGGCGCATCCTGCAGAGTCCTTGCCATCGGATCTTTCCTGCACATTCTAATGCTGCACCCTTCAGTGACCCTGCTCAGTAGTTGTCCTGCGTATAATGTGTCTTTATGCACAATGTGATTTGTTCCAAAACATGGTTGAAACAACTAAAAAGCCTCCCCACACAAAGACTGTGTCTCAAGTATGGTTTTGCTTGGTGTTTCTAAAGGGTGTGTATGTCGCTCGCCCCCACCCCCGCCGTCGTTTATTTGGGAGTACACCTCTCCAAGTATACAATGAGCCAGTGTCTTCCATATATAGTAGCTCTTTGAAGATCTTAAGCATTCATAGGAAGCTTGTTCCTATGTGATGCACTCAATGAGCAGTCTTGCTCAGGAGTTGGTTTCTAAGCAGCTGCCTTCTGTTATTTGACTTTTTATAATTTTCCTCTGCCGTTTAGTTTCATTTCCTATTTTTGAAAGTATTCGGGGGTGCCCGGGTGGCTCAGTCGGTATAGCGTCTGATTTAGGCTCAGGTCATGATCTCACAGTTTGTGAGTTCAAGCCCCAAGTCAGGTTCCGTGCTGACAGCTCAGAGCCTGGAGCCTGTTTCAGACTCTGTGTCTCCCTCCCTCTCTGCCCCTCCCCTGCTCACGCTCTGTCTCTTTCTCAAGAATAAGTTTTAAAAAATTTTTTTAAAGAAAGTGTTTTATGGGCGCCCGGGTGGCTCAGTTGGTTGAGTGTCCAGCTTCGGCTCAGGTCATGATCTCACGGTTCGTGGGATCAAGCCCCGCATCGGACTCTGTGCTGACAGCAGCTCAGAGCCTGGAGCCTGTTTCAGATTCTGTATCTCCCTCTCTATGGCCCTCCCCTGCTCGTGCTGTCTCTCTCTCTCTCTCTCTCAGAAATAAATAAAACATTTTTTAAAAAAGTGTCTTAGAAACCTATATGGCAGGGGCTTTAGACCAGAGACATCTTTCCTTACCTCCTTTCGCCAGTTCACCAAAAAGAAAAAAAGAAGAGTATCCCAAACACAGACATGGGAGAGATTTTCAGCGCTCACACTGAAGGGCCTATAATCAGGTGTTGCTAACACCACAAACATCCCACGTGCGGCCACATTTACTCCTGTTCTGAGATTTGTTTTCTCTCGGTCACCTGCCACAGTACCCTGCTGCTGAGTGATAAGCAGTTTCCACCGACTTGGTTAATTAATGAGCTTATCAACTCCTAATGACTTGTGGCCTCCTAGACTGGAGAAGGTGTTACTTTAGGGAAGAGCTACTTACCTACCATCTCTTCGGAGGCCAAGGCCTCAGGGAAAAGAGCGTACCACCTTTGACAGGGTGGGTTTAGGTGAGAAATCTCGAGAAGTGTAGATGCTGATTTCTGTGTAGTTGAAATGTCGGAAACCACTGACAGACCAGACCTGGTGGGGGACCCCGTGACCCCGCATGGCTCACAGACAAGTGGGCTGGCTCCCTCTCTGCTCAGGGTCCTGTGGTAGCATCACCTGCAAAGACCCAGATCAAAAGAAGCCTCCGAAAGCCCCCAGGGGACAAACACCATTGGGATTAAGTGACAGAGATGGATGCGGACTCCCGAACATAGCGGCAAGTCAATCCATTCATTTCTATTCTTTTTCTTCTATTTCTGGGGTTATTTTGTTTAACTAGGATATGCTGACCCCATTAAAATATAGGAGTATTCTTCACAATAGATATTTTAAAAGAATCTTCAGATGTGACCTTAGCCAGGGTTTTGTTTTGCTTTATTTTGTTTTGATTGAGTAATTTGCACATACCTGAGGCACCCTGGGTAGCTCTTGGTTTCGGCTCAACTCATGAACTCACAGTTGGTGAGTTCAAATCCCACATTGGGCTCTGTGCTGACAGCCATGGAGCCTGTTAGTGATTCTCTCTCTCTCTCTCTCTCTCTCTCTCAAAAATAAACACTTATAGGGGCACCTAAGTGGCTCAGTTGATTAAGCGTCCGACTTCGGCTCAGGTCATGATCTCACGGTTCGTGGGGTCGAGCCCCACGTCGGGCTCTGTGCTAACAGCTCAGAGCCTGGAACCTGCTTCAGATTATGTATCACCTCCTCTCTCTGACCCTCCCCTGCTTACGCTGTCTCTCTCTCTCCCAGAAATAAAATAAAAAAATTTTTTCTCCCAGAAAAAAATAAATAAAAGATTTAAAAAAATTTTAATAATAAATAAATAAACACTTATAAAATAAGATAATTGGGGGCACCTAGTGGCTAAGCGTCCAACTTTGACTCTGGTCATGATCTTGTGGTTCATGAGTTCAAGCCCCACCTCAGGCTCTCTGCTGTCAGCACAGATCCTGCTTCAGATCCTCTGTCCCCCTCTCTCTCTGCCCCTCCTCAGCTTGTGCTCACTCTCTCTCAAAAAATAAACATTAAAAAAGTAATTAATTTAATTTAGTAAGATAATTGGGGCACCTGGGTGGCTCAGTTGGTTAAGCGTCCAACTTCAGCTCAGGTCACAATTTCACTGTTCGTGGGTTCAAGCCCTGCATCCTCTGTCTCCCTCTCTGCCCCTCCCCCACTCTCTCTCAAAAACAAATAAACATTTTAAAAATACTTTAAAAATAAAAAATAAAATAATTTACACACACCCATAAATAAGAGGGTATATGAAACTTACCTTATTCCAGAAAAATCCACATAGACGTATTTGTCCATTGCTTTTGTATAAATGTATATATGTACACAGGGATACAAGTCAACTAATAGTACAATGTTTACAGCATTTTTTACAGACCACTAATACATACCGATTGCAGATGTTGACTTCTGTGGTAGAACATTTGGTTAGTAAACAGATCTCCCCCCCCAAAAAAGGCTCGTCTATAGCTACGCTTCAAACAAAGGAGAATAGAACTCAAGAGTCCATGAACGTGGATGGGGGGAAAATTACATCTTTGTTTTTACAAATCTCTAACTGTAATGCAGAATTTCCTTCAATTATGAACGCTGGCCACTAATCAACAGTAGTAAAAAAGTACTGTGTCTGCTGCCAATAGAAATCATGGATATTTTAATATTACATTGCAGTGGCTGCACATATTCAGAGTAGTGTTTTGCTCATCATGACCTCCGAATGATAGCTATTAGATCAGCCTCTGCCTTATGATTTCATGTGTAAAGTAAGAGCCACATATATTGCTATCATCCAATTTGATTACCTTTTCAATATTTTAATAATTGTATTTCACTCTCTTCGGCTTGCCTTAAACTCAAGGCATTTAACGACATTATTCTGAGGAGTGGTATACAGACTTCACACTGTTAAAGGGATCCACAGCACGACAAAGGTTATGATGAAATTCTAACAGCCTAAATTCGAGTTCTGAGGCAGCATTGCACTGCTCTTAGATGTGGACATGTCAGTCCCTGCTCCATCCAGGGCCCCTGGTCTCAATCTTGAGATTCTTGTTCAGGGAGTAGTGCAGGCAATATAAAAGAAGCCTAACTCAGATGATGTAAAAAGCTCTGAAAACCACAGAATGCTGTGTCAATGTAAGAAAAGGAAATTGGGTCGCCTGGTGGCTCAGTCGGTTAAGCGTCCCAACTCTTGATTTCGGTTCAGGTCATGATCTCACGGTTCATGAGGTTGAGCCCTATGTCAGGCTCCCCACTGACAGCATGGAGGTTGCTTAGAATTCTCTCCCTCCCTCTCTGCCCCCCTCCTTCAAAATAAATTAAAAACTTAAAAATTAAAAAGCAAGGTACCTGGGTGGCTCAGTCAGTTAAGCATCCCACTTCAGTTCAGATTATGATCTCACAGTTCATGAGTTCAAGCCCTGTATCAGGCACTCTGCTGTCAGTGCAGAGCACACTTCGGATCCTCTGTCCCCCTCTTTCTCTCTGCCCCTCCCCTCCTGGCACTCTCTCAAAATAAATAAACATGGAAGGAAGGAAAGAGAGAGAAAGAAGAAAGAGAAAGAAAGAAAGAAAGAAAGAAAGAAAGAAAGAAAGAAAGAAAGAAAGAAAGAAAGAAAGAAAGAAAGAAAGAAAGAAAGAAAGAGAGAGAGAGAAAGAAAAAGAAAAGGAAAGAAGGAAGGAAGGAAGGAAAAGAAAGAAAAGGAAATCAGCATGTGAGTTCCATGACAGAAGGGAACTTTTGGGGCGTTCTCCACAGAATACTGGGCTTGATCAGTAAATATTTTCTGAGTGAATTCACCCATCCATTCACTGAGCACATATCAGCCCACGTGCAGCTGCATAGGAAGTGGAGACAGAGGCAATCTTGTTGGGGACCCTGCCCTTTAACCTATAAGGTCCCCACTAACTCCGTGTAGTGAGTGTCAAAATTGACCTGAGTCATAGGAAACTGCCCCAGGTGGTGTAGGAGAAATGGTGTCAGGCCACATGCCAGTG